TGGAGGCCTACATATGGGTAGTTCTCTAAATTAGGGTCCCTTTTTATGGGTCCCCAATATAGTACGGCACCCTTATGAAAAGGACCCCCAAAGGGACCCTGATTAAGAAAACTACCCATATGTTATTGTATTGTATAACTTGCAAAATAACTCCATGCTGAGATTCGATACACTATGGTCTAAGGCTGTCCACAGCTGGGGTTTTCCCAGTTCAGACATGGTGTCGGGTTTGCGGCTTGAAGGTCTACCTGTAGCCGAAAAGCCTATCTGATCAAGACGAACATCCCAACAAAAACCCACAGTAAAACCATAAAATCATGATATACGCTTTTTCGTCTGCGGGAACTTTCCGAAACCCAAGTCCCAACCAACACAACCCTGGAAAACCGTACTAAACCTATCTGCGCCAACCAGGCAAAACCTGATGAAAGCCGTATGACCGACGCAGAAGGTCTGGGACACGCGGTTCCATGCTTCTTTGCAGTTGTTATATATCTTCATATTTATGTAATAGCTATCTCTCTCTCTATATATATATATATATGTGATATACATATATATATATATGTATATAGATATAGGGTTTAGGGTTTAGGTCTCCAAGCCCACCTTGCGATCCAACTCCACGTGCACCTCCTGTCGGAGGTTTCCCGGTTCTAGGCTACATGGGGGGTTGGAGTAGAACTGAGGAAACTTCGAGAGTGAAGTTTACGATTTCTGGGCCTTAAGGAGTTGGCGAAGGTCAGGGTTTCGGTTCGGAATTTAAGTGAAGTGTGAAAGGTATGTGTGGGTTAAAACTCATGTCAAAGGCATCTCTGGAGATATGCCAGGGTAAGTATAAGTATGCTTCGTCAGACTGCAAAATGAGAAGTTGATTATACTGAGTTGCTGAGTTCATAAGCCCCCAAAAGCATACACTTTCAGTTTGATAGTGGGTAATATTCTCCCAAAAGGTGTAAAGTGTATCCACTCAGTTGCTAGGTATACAGGGTCTAGATCATGCTAGCTAGTTGAAGCTAGAAGCGAGATTTCCCATGACTGTGGGCGCAACCGAACTCTTCTCTCCTCGGTAGCCGAGAAGGTCGCAAAGTCGCTCTCCCCGACCAATCGGACCTGGTCATGTTTCCGGGTCTGAGAGGTAATATTGGGGCCGAAAGAATCAGAATAGTGCCCTAAACCCTAAACCCAAGATATTGATACCCTACTTATGACCTTACGTGCTAAGTCCCATGATCCTCGAAGTAGGGTGTGGGGTGTAGGGCTCAGGGTCGAGGCCGAATTTGGGCATAAGGTTTAGAAAAATACCGTATAGGGTTTAGGGTTTAGGATTGTAGGGTTTAGAGTATAACCCTAGGCCGGTAAGGCTCCATATATCTAGCACCAACTAGACGAAACCAGAACAAACAACAATCGAAACCCTCAATTCCGATAAACAGGTGCTGTACACCAGACCAAAACCCGCAACCTCGTTTGCACAAAAAATCGTAATAATCCCACAAGGCCCTAAACCCCTAACCCTAAACCCCATGCCCACAACAATCTAATCCCTAACCCTAAACCCCTACATAAACCCTATAAAGCAAACCCCCATGTCCACAAGACCAAACCGTGCTCCCCGCCGGCACGCCAGCTGAGGCATCCTCGGAAAGCGTAGCCCGCGGCACACCCTAAGCTTTTTCTAGTCGGTGTTTACCGCACTGGGTTCGAGAGTTTGGGTCCTAACTGCAACCCTGAACCCTAAATCAATCCCAAACCTGAAAAAGACCTTAAACCGTCTCAAGCCCAAACCCCTTTTGCATCCAGGACTCTAAGCCTTAAGCCCCAACCTAAACTCTTTTGCGCAGCACCTCGACATGCAAGACTTCGGGATTCAATGACTACTGGGCTGCTGGTGAAGTTTGGCTGAGCCTTTTGGCATGTTGACAAACCTGGGGGTCCCCGATACAATACTTAATACTTTAACTTAACAAATATCAGATCATCATTATACGGACCCCGAAGACAGGGTCGGGCCACCTATGTGCTCGAAACCTGCATTTCGGATTTGGGGGCAGCGAGTTTGCAGGAACTTGTTCAAATGGTGCCAGCTGAAAAAACAGTTCAATCTACAAGCGAAGTGCCCATTCAAACAAACAGAGCCGAATCTTGTCAGCATAGGTTGAGTACTGTCCCCATACAGTAACAGTCTGTAGTAAGGCTATTACTAAGGACCTTCTATGGCTTTAGTATAAGTATTATTCAACTTCAATAAGACTTATAATAAAGCCTGAACTGTTACTGAGTGGGGGCCCTGGGGGCAGTATCCAAGGCTTAGGTCAAATAGGGGTTGGCTGGAACCCTACAGCCCTGAAGCACGCGCCCCGCTGTCAACGGTGCTCGTGCGAGACTACACTACTACACCACAGGATGTCTGCCACAGATGTGGGCAAAAAAAGCATGATGCAACTCTCAAAATTCTCTAGATTCTGATCACGCCATACGGCCTATAGTATCCGTTGTAGTTCCTTTTCTTGGTCTAGCCAAGCTTACATTTACAGAATTGAACTACGATGGAGGCTACGGCTAAGTCTTTGATTCACGAAAGTGTACTATCATGGTCATGTCTGTCTTGCATTAAAAATACCGTCCATTTCCGTTTTCAAGTCCGTGCTTGGAGCATACATCCCACAATCCTCAACCCGTTTTGCATCCGGACTTGGGAACACCTCAACCCCAAAAGCAAGACGGCGCTCACCAGCCCTTTGGTATCCAAGCTAGAATCCTTTGCATTTCCTATGGGAACCTTTCGAGAATCAGTACAAACAACACCTATAGACGATTATTATCAAAAGGGCTGAGGTCCTTCGTACTATCATTCTAAAATCGAATATGTAGTCACTGGATTTCCATAAATCGCATATACTGCAATTTAGTATTCCGACCACTGGACTACTTCTTTACAGTACCCTGTGATACCCTATACAGAAGCCCGGATAATAGCCCTCCTTAATTCCTAAACCCCCGAAAGCCCTAAAGCTGCGCGAGGCCGTCCTCCTGGCAAACCCAGAAGGCCCGAAATTTCTGCTGACCCGGATCCATGGCCACAGTGGCGGACTGTGCGGAGTGTCCGGTTTAGGGTTGGGGTGTCAGGGCGGTGAGACCAAGAATCAGGCGACAAGTAGGGTGTAGGGCTTCAAAAGTTCATGTGGGGCTTACCACTGGCACATGAACCACATCTGGGTAGTTGTCAAAATTATGGTCCCTTTTGGGGTACCCTAAATAATAGGTGCCGTATTATAATAAGGACCCAAAAAGGGACCTTAAATTTGACAACCACTCATCTTTTTGAGGGTTAACTTCAGGATCCCCAGAACCGCCTTATCTAGGGAGGGTCTGCTTTTTCACAACAAAGGGTCTATGGGAACGGGCGGGGGCTGGTCTAGTTGCAGTCGACCGCCTTGAAGGTTGAGGGTCGTAGCTTATATGGCTTAGGACCTTAAACCCTAAACCCTAAAGTTTAGGGTGAAAGGGCTTAGGGCCTTAGGGCCTAGGGGTGGTTGATAGCTTCAGGGAGCGACACTTCGACGATTCAGAGAATCCGGACTTCGCAGAGATCAAGATGGTAGAGATCTGGGGCTTAGATACCAAGGCCTTGAAGCCCAGTACCCTGGCCCAAAAAAGTTTAAACTTTTCTTTTAGTAGGGGGTTTAATATACCAAAAAGTTCAAAGTTTACCTACTGGGCTCCTAAGATAAGGGTTTTAGGGTTTAGGGATCTGGGGCTTAAATACCAGGGCGTTCAGCTCCTGAGGCCGGTTTTGGTTGGGGCGCCGATGCGGAGATTCGTGATCCTGGAGCCACACGCACGATCCAGACCGGAGAGAAGTGGGGTATCGGATTGAAGGAAAATTTAGGGACCTGAAAATTGCGAACATATTCTTTTTGGGGGGGAGTGCCTCTCATAGTATGGCAACATGGGGATCATAAGGACACATTCGGTACTGTTCTCAGCAAATGTTCCGACCTTCACGTTACTTCCCTGACCTCCACATGTAATTAGTCGTGCTTGTTCCTTAACTTGATGAAGGCCGGGGCTTAGGGATTTAAGGTCTCCTAAAGCAACGAAAACCCGGGAACCGACAACGCCCCGAAAAGGGCTGACTGTAGCAGTGCGATGTGGTTCGGGGAGGTTTGGTTTAGGCTAATTACACCCCGTTCACGTAGCTCGTGATATAAAGATTCCTTCATAAACTTCCCATGAAGTTGTCGTGCAGTAGCCTGCTCTGATGTCACTCAGGCCCCTATGAGGCCCCCCCCCCGCCCCCCCGCCCCCCTCCAGTGTTTGAGGCACAGCGCACGGCAGCTCTGATCTTGCAGAAACCAGCGATCACCAGATTGCACGCTCCTTTTTGGTCAAGGCGGCCCGTTGCTTCAGACCCTAAACCCTAAACCCTAAACCCCTAAAGCTACGGTCGTCGAGGCTTTGAAGACCGAGGAAGCCGCGGAGACTGAGAGGGGTCGGGTCGGATTCAGGGTTTAGAGTTCGAGCTTCATGGGCTTCGGGTCCTTAGGGTTGAGGGTTTCGGGTGCAAAAAACGGGGCCTTAATAATTAGAATAGGGTTTTGGGGCCCATTATACTATAAACATAATATGGAGCCCCAAAATAGTATAGGTAATCATTAAGGCCCCGATATGAGGGTTTCGGGTTTCGGGTTTTCATGGGTTTAGGGTTGAAGGCTTGGCTCAGTCCTAAACCCTAAACCCTAAACCCTAAACCCTAAACCCTAAACTCAGTCATGCTCCTCAAGCCTACAGCGCCAGTCTTGATCCCGCTCCTTGGCAGGCAAGGCCCAAGGGCCTCCCTCAACCGCTCAAACCCGGTTTAGGGTTTAGGGTTTAGGGTTTAGGATTTAGGGTTTAGGGTATTTAGGGTTTAGGGTTTATAGGGTTTATAGGGTTTAGGGTTTGGGGTATTTAGGGTTTAGGGTTTAGGGGTGTCCCTTTTCAGCGCATGGTGGGAGCTAGAGGAAGGCTCCCAGTCGGGAGCTCATTCCGCAAGCCGCGCGCTGAGCCATGCTCATCTCTCTTGCCTCGGGAAAGTAGACCAAACCGTGTAGAAGGGCCTCTAATCTACAGTACTATGGTGTTCAGGGTACGGCCCTGGGTCCTGTGAGGCAAACAAGTACTTCTTGTTGGAGGCGTAGCATGAGAATTCCGTGCGTGCCATGCACAGCGACCCTGGAAAACGACCCGTAACGCGATCGGCTGGCAGCGCAGTTGCAAGGGATGCTTATGCTGAGGGGTGGCTGTTGAAAACCCAGCCGAAACCGCCGAAGCCTACAACCCAGACCCCTCAAACGACCTTTCCGAAAGTCTTGCTTCCACCAGCTCAGACCATGCCACAAGCAGTAGGTGGAGCAGCGGCACCGAGAATGCAGATTCGGTGGTAGCGGGGCCTCCACACCACTTCGAGTCAGAATTTCACCAAAATCGACGAAGCGGTGGCAGAATGAGTTGCTCTCCTCACGTCAACGTATATGTGGCCATCTTTGCGGAAACTGCGATGCTCCTTACTTGTTCTCTGCTTCGACTTGTCAACAAGATCATACTCCCATATACTTCCGACATCAGAGTGGGAACCAGAAAAGAAACCGCTTCGGAACTTTAAGGCATGTATATAGTGTGTACGCTGAACTGTAGAGCCTGCAGCCTACACCCCGGCAAGGGAAGTCAGCTGCAATCCTGCGGCAGAAATACCATTGTATTAGCGGCCGACCGGTCGATAGTTCCGAAACCACAGGAGATTACCGGTTTAAGTTCAGAACTTAAACCGGTAATCGATTCGTGTTTAGGGTTTATGGGGTTCAAGTTTGGATTCTGGCGATGGATTCAGACTTGAAGGCTCGCTCGGGAACCTCAGCTGCAAGCCGCTCTGTACTGCCATGGCTTGCGTCTGAAACAGCTCCATGCCGCAACTGTAGGTTGAACCGTCTATTCCTACACCGGGCTTTGAATCATAATTGATGTACTTTAAGATCCGGACACAAGCTTTGCGAATGTGCTGTACTGACAGATTCCCCATAACCATTGATTGGCACTGAGCACTGCTGCGCTCTTGCTGGCAGTCGTGCAGCTGCTTACTGCCGGCTTAATGCCTGCATTCTAAGCCCTCCACCAAAAACCACAAACCTTCCACGCCCGTCCGGCCTAGGAACTCGTTCTCGTAGTTTTGGACGCACTCGTTCGTGTCAAGCTCGAGAATCTGCGCATTGCATGTCGGCATGTAGCACGCTTCTGAAACAAAGCACTCGCAGAACCCACTCTCTCTCTCTCTCTCTCTCTCTCTCTCTCTCTCTTTTCTTTCATTGGGCATGGGGGATGGTTGAAATCCCCCGGCCTAGTGGCCCCCCATTTGTTATGGGGCTTTGTGGGGATCTCTCTCTCTCTCTCTCTCTCTCGCGGACTCAGAGGTCTGTCAGCCGCGCGGTTGTCTAGCACTTCGCCAGACACCGAAGGAACCATTACAGAAACGACAGGAACTACAGGCGGAAGACTCGAGTAGAACCCTGAACCCGATAAACCCTAAACTGTAGGACTGAAAGATGGCCTCTTTCAACGCGTTTTGCCGCTTCGGTTCGGAAACTCTCAGGATTCTCCAAGAACGGCGATAGGAGGTTCAAGCCTTCTGCAAACAGAACTTCGCACAGTTGGACAAACCTTACGTGGGCATAAGGCTTTTATTAGTATTACTGCTTAATTATTTATACTTGCTTAAAGGGACTTAAGGCTTAGGGGATCCTGACAGCTCCGGCAAATCCCCCTTGGAAAACCCTAAGAACCCCAGCACCCCAAATTGTCCTAAACCCCTTGCTCCTGAATAAGCCCCCAAAAAACCCTAAAACTCCGAAACTTAAAACTCCGGAAACCCTAAACCCTAGACCTAAGAACCCCAAAACCCCTGAAACCCCTGATAGTCAAACAAGAACCCAACCCGACTCCTTCTGAGCAGCTTCACGGGCCAAGCTTGTGGCGATGTTGGCCTCTAGGGCTTTCGTACAAAACCCTAGGGGTTTTAGGGTTCCTTTAAAGGGGAAACCTCAGGGTCCACATGCTCATGCAGGCTGCCTCTGCAAGAGTTTATGAGGTCTTACTAGGAATCTGCAGGTTTTGCGTAGTTTGCGGTTTTTTGCTCCAAACTCTCCAGCAGAAGGGTTTCGCCCCTAACACAAATTGCCCCATGGGTTTGGGCTTCGTAGGATTCCAATACAAGGGTCCAGATTTCGAGCTGTGGCCCAAGCTTGGGTCAGAACAACTCGCAACTTCCGCGCAATCAAACAACAAGGTCGCGATCAAGCGATCAGTAATTTCTGCGCCCCAATGCCACGAACGTTAAGCTCAAATGTGTCTGGAATCCAAAACCCATAGCCCCATGCACAGGCTCGTCGGAGACATCAGCTTGACAAAAGCGGCAGCACTGAAAGCAGAGATACTGAATGCAATGACACTTCCTAGCGGCAGAAGCAGGACAGCGCAGTTGAATGGCAAATTTATCTTCATAATCCCTCTTTGTAGCCCTGCATAAGTCCTTTCAGCACGACACCTAAAGCCTTTTCTTTTCAGCATGGGCTTGGATTGTGTGCCAGCGAACACACCTCAACAGCAGGGCCTTCTCGTTTAACGAGGGATGCAACCGGAGGAGTGACAGACCTAAAGCCTAAACCCTAAACACCCAAAGCCTAAACCACCCTTCGCCTGTCTCCGCGCATAGGCGGCCGCCTGCGCACCGCGGCTCGCAGCCCCGGAGGAGTGCCGGGCCCAGAGGGACAGCGCCTCACAAGCTTTGGAGGCTCTAGGGTTTTGGAGGCTCTAGAAGTTTGGGGCTTCAGGGGTGTAGGGGTTTCAGGCTTTAGGGTCTAGGGCTTTATGGCTTTAGGAGTGTAGGGGTTTAGGGTTTAGGGTCCAGGGCTTTAGGGCTTTAGGGTCTAGGGCTTTAGGAGTGTACGGGTTTAGGGTCTAGGCTTTAGGGCTTTAGGGTCTAGGGCTTTCGGGCTTTAGGGGTGTAGGGGTTTAGAGTTTAGTGTGTAGAGCTGTAGGGCTTTAGGGGTTTAGGACTTATAGGGTTTAGGGTCTAGGGTTTTAAGGTTTTGTGCTCTCGCAACTCGGACACTGCCAGACGAGGGCTTTCTAGGGTTTTATGGTCACTGGCATCAAGACTGTTCAGGCGCGTCAGTTCTACAGGTTTGAGGTTTGGGGTTCGGTCAGGGTTTCGTCGAACGCCAGGTTGTAGGGAGCACGACAGCAGACTACCCCCAAAAAGGCGACGAGACCCTGAACGCCAAATGCTAAGTCACAAAGCCTAAGCCCAAGCCCAAAGCTAAGTCACTAATCCTAAGCCCAAGCCCAAAAGCAAAAACATGCACAACACAGGGTCTGCTTCGATCAGCTCATGTATCCTAAACCACGGCGGCCCTAGCGACAAAGAGCGCTTATTCGTAAGGAGTGACCTATGTGCCGAGCCTGGGCCAGCTCGTCGGGCGGTGAGAGGTCGGTGGGATCTTCGGGCGTGGACCCTTTTAATGGGCCGAACGGCATGGCGTCTTGCTAGAATGCCACCGTCAGGAGCACATGAAATCATAAGACAATGTTCTCATTTTCGGTATGTAGTATAGCAGGCCTATTGGGTTGATGGCTTTGGTATGGTAGGGCCCAGCTTCTGTTCTGAAGCGGCGAGAAGGGGGTTTAGAAGAGGTTCATAGGTAGTATGAATCTGGTTACGAACCCGAAAAGAAAGAGAACGATCTACCCTTCAAGCCCCGAGAATGTTCAAACCGGGCTTAAGGATTCCAAAGCGGATGGCAGGCAAGGCTTCATGATGCCGACGCGCATGTGGAATTCTGGATGTGGCTAGGTTATGCATCAGTCGGATTCAAGATGTCGCTGAGACTTGTCAGATATTCAGCCTAGACCCGAAACCCGAAAGCCCTAAGCCTGTCTCATGTATTCCTGTTAGAACGCCCCGCTGAGGGCCAAGAAAGCAGTGGCGAAGCGAGGTTCTCCAGAACACGAGGCTTAACACGTAGGTCGGCAGAGTTGCGAATTGTTGCTATATATATATATACATATACACACACACAGAAAGCGTCACATTGTGCAGTTATTGCTTACTCACGTATCTTTAGGTTCATCCATAAATCATAGTCTGTGCTCTACACACGCTTCACTTGAATGTACTGAGATTTGCCCATGCACATCTGTTGAAGCAACTTGTTCCAGACTCGAATCAACAGGTCCTCTGTAGTTTGTGTCTGGCTAGAGCAACTATCAAGAAGGAGAGGAGTAGGGAGGGATCGGGGAGGGTGGGGTGCCAAAAACAACTCACTCTCAATGTATAAACACCTATCAATCACATATATATATATATATGCCACATCCCAAACAAGCCAAATGCTTCGACATTGCAGGCAACATCACCACGGCTCTGTCGGCGGCACGATATTGACACTGATCTCTCACTTTCGCAGTAGCTGGAACAAGGCCAAGGTATTGACATCAAGGTGGAGCATTGCGTATTTACTTGGGATTCATAGGGGAGCGTTCTGTAGTTTCAGCAATGCTGAAATAGCGACATGCTACCACGGAGGCCCACTGGTGGCGCATACGGGCTCTGGGCGACTCCTTGATTTGCCACTAGCACTGACCCTTACATTTGACACGCCTTTCCCAAAAAGGTCCTTGTGAAGCTTCCACTCCCTCGCCTGCACTCAGAAAGCTTCTTCTGCGGTTCGCGGTCGGATCCGGGATATCGACGGAACAACGCTAAACTCTAAACCCTACACGAAAATGAAGTCGGAGTGTTAAACCAGGGCAGAAGCTACTGACACCTTCCTTAGCCGATCCTGGGGTTCGGGCGGGCGATGCTTCACGGCTACGGTTGAGAATTTAGGGATACACTATTTTTTCTTCCTGACAAAGAAAGATCCCTGGTTCGGGGGGAAGCGGCCACCCTACTTGTGAACCCTAACCCTAAACGGCCAAGGCTTCCTTTTGTTCCATGCCGGCTGCCAGCTCGCATGAAGTCCTCAGCTTTGAGACAGCTTCGATCTGCAAAACTTGAGCACTCATCAAGGATCCCGGTTTAATGTAGACTTCGAGTTTAGGGTTTAGGGTTAGGAGACCTCTCCAAACGGATCCGGTTTGATGTAGGCTTTCCAGCTTAGGGTTTAGGGCTCAAGATGAGTAGGGTCCGGAAGAACCCCGAACGCATCAGAACCCTAAACCCTAAACCCCCTAAACCCTAAAGTCAGAGCCCACAAAGACAACGATCAGGAAGCTGACCGTTCCAGAGGCAAGGAAGGGCCTCCAAAACTACCCAGAGAGCCCAATACCCCGTAATTAAGGAATATACCTTAAATTATAAGAGCCGTAATATTGTGATTTAAGGTATATTCCTTAATTAAGGGGTATTGGGTTCTCTGGGTACCTTCCCAGTGAAGATACTTTGCTTGGATCGAAGCCATACTTGGGCATCCTCTTTGCAAACACTACACATCTAAGCTCTAGTCATACAGGGCGGATTACCCGAAAGAACAATGGTTTCAAGATGCCCGATGCCGCCCCCCGGAAATCGTGTAAGCACTGAACCTTACTTTGAGAATCAGGGGGCTTAACGGGCTTGTAAATTCGGTATCCACCGTTCTATGCGTTTGAAACCCAGCCAAGATACTTATGACCCTACTTACTATCCCAGATCATCCAGGTAGACCCCAGACCCTAAACCAAAGCGAGGACAAGTTTCGAGTTGAAGTGCTCGTCGAGCTTTTCCAGCAGCGCTCGTGCGCGATCACGCGGAGCATCCACGGCCAAATCACCCCCTGGAAACGGACGGAGCTCGGGAGTTGCAGTAACGTAGAGGCCTTGATAACTAGAATCGGGTTTTGGGCTCCTTGATACCATAACATTAATCAGGAGCCCTAAGGAATACAGTTGGTAATTATGTAGGCTTCTACATTAAGGCTTCAAGGGATAAAGCCGATAAGGTGGTCTAAAGAGATGCGTTTGTACCAGAGTAACTTAAAGTACTCCAAACCCTGATCTACATATTCTTGATACATTCATGCAACGATGATTTTGCCATAGATCAGCACTGGCTCCTGCAAACATACTAGTGTGTCCAGCAAGAGAATGGCAGTGCGACCCGACTTTGTCAGCCTTCCTAACACGGTGCGGGGGCAATACAAGGCCCGAGAAACTAGACTAGGGTATTAGGGTTTTGGAGTTTGTAACTATGAGCTGCTGTTCTATCTATGGGTGTATATGTGTATACATATACAATATCTATTATATCTGTTCTATATGTATATACATATGCTTTTTAACTTGTACTTATCTCGATCTATCTATCTGTCTATCTATCTATCTATACATACATATTTAGAGAGAGATGTACTTCTATGAGAACGACCCCATGCTGTGGAGCTGCTTAACTCCTCGGGTTGCAAGCAGAGGAGTCTCGAGTTGCACTGCGTCCACAGTGGTAGAGGCAGGTTTGCTCGGGACTGTGCTGAATAACATAAAGTGGTAGTACTTAAACACGAAGCCCTGATCGTGGCCTTACCTGAAAGTAAGCCTCATAGTACGCCCTAGATATGAACCCTCACTGTGCGCTTGTTGTCACTGCAACTGCTGTCTTCGCGGTCGCCGCACAGCAGCAGCAGCAACAACACCAAACACTGCTACTCCAACTAGTACTATTACTACTACTACTACTACTACTACTACTACTCTTACTACTCTTACTACTCTTACTACTCTTACTACTTACTACTTACTACTTAATACTTGCTACTTACTACTTACTACTGACTACTTACTACTTA